ATTTTTTGACTTCTGCAAAAGCACAAAAATAAGAAATTTATTTGCAATTTTTAGTTCAATTTTTTTGACTTGAAAAAAATGAGTGAGTTTCTGAAGGTTTTATAGAAAAAATCAGTCATGAAATTTGTACTTATTTATTTCAACAAAATCTTAATACAATACCTTAGCTTAACAATGGAAAAAAATATATAAGATATATCTTTACCTTTTAACGAAATATTTAATGTAAGCGTAGGGTTTTACATATGGCAAATAAGAAGCAGTTACAGCATACAGAACTAAACCGAGAAACCACATTTGTCCAAACAATATTAGGAACGACATAGAATTATAAATCGCAGAGCTAAATATTAAGCATGAACTGTAAAAGTTTTTCACAGTTCCAAGCAAATAATTATTAATAATTATTTGATATATGTAAAGCATCATCAAGAAACAGTAATTCATGAATATCTTTACTTTTTAAATAATAATACTAGCTAAAAATTTGCACAACTTTTAACATGAAAAGCGAATTTTTGTAGTGAGCAGCTAATTTCTTTGTCTTTATAATTTGATTATTCAACATACAAATACAAATAAATTCAAGCAGATTTTTAATTAAATTCGTGATAAATTAATATAAAAAAAACTTACGTAATATTTTCGTTTACTTGAAAATACAAAAGGTGGGAATCATCAACTGCGTTATGCATAAAATTGGCGATAGTATTTAAAGCACAATTCACCATTAGAAAAACTGTGAAATACTTGAAAAAGCCATCTTTGATTTTAGCAAAGGTCAAGTAAAGAACGAATAATATGATAATTATGGAAGCAGTTGCTGAGATGACTGAAAATATCAGACCTCTGTCGTGCAATGATCCTGAAGTGATTTTATTTCTATCATAGTAAAAGTTCCTTATGTACTTTTAGCAAAAATAGGCTCTTCCTACAGAATCATTTTTGCTCCTTCGCTGTGATCGCTGTCAATTACTGCAGTTTCACTTGTACCATTCATGACAAACAGCATAAACTTTAATATTATTTCATAAATTGTAAAGATTATTCATATTATACAGAAAATTTAATCACTTATTATCAGAATTCTGTGTACGAATAGGAGATAAACAGCAAAATCTTCAAGTAGAAACTTGCCACATGACATTCCTAACTTGAAGCAAAATGTAGTGTCTTTTTCAAGATTGAGACATATTGTATGATTATGGACGCCATTGCTGCGCTTGCTAAAGAACGCTTCCACTGTTCTGTTGTTTCCAAAATTTCTGCAAATATGCTTGCACTATTCCACAAATTCTATCAAAGTATGTAAAAGTGTCAAATATTGCTGCTTTGTAGTCATCTATTTCAAGAATCAGTACAGTACTTTTCTGTATCTCATTAATTTTCACAGATTTTCAAAGCAGGGTACCTTCATTCAGAATACTTTTGCATCTATCTTGCTTTTAATAACATGCTAAGTTCACATCCAGGATCAATAACTGCATTAGTAAATATAAAAAATACCGATCACTATCATTACTGTTATTGAATTTCTTATCTGTCGCCTTTGTTGCAACAATGTGCCGCGAATGTTCAAATATTATCAGCAAATAACTTTGAAATTTTATAAAATGCCTTACCATGAAATCTAAAATGTTAATTATGAAAGAAAATCTTTAATTTCAAATAACATCTACAAATGTTACCAATATAAGAACCTCAATTTTTTGCCTCTTCATGTCACCAAAGGAATGTACACTATCTACCATATTAATTTATATGAAATTTCGCTTACAATAAGCAGATATTTTTAATCTTTCATATAATAAAATTTATAAAAGTCTGTAATCGTTTTCAGTGCATTTCTCTTTCATTAACACACTTAAAAAGTCTGCAAAATCTTATGAATATCTGTAAAATACTAAGAAAATTTTTGTTTCACACCAACGTTTCCAATTCATACTTACTGATGCGATCAAGTGCAATGATACCTGATAATTTATTTGGAATATAAGTACAGTTGGACTTCAAAACTGTCAAAATCACAATCTGTTCTTTCATTTCATAAAATCAACAATTCATGAAAATACTATCTACCAAGCATCGACAGCTCTCACAAATACTGCACTTAAATATTGAAAAGTTAAGGAAAAGATTAATCTTATTAATGCTAAAGTAAGCTGACTTCATTATTGTTAGTGCGATTAAATTAAACTTCACAAATCATTGATGTTGAAAAACATCGAATAGATTTATAATACAAGCTAGAAATATTTGCAAATATTTATTCAATCATTCAAAAAAATGTATATATTGTTGAAAAAATTTTTTCATTTCGAAAACTTGACTATGACACATTGCAGTTCTACGCTGATTATTCCAAACTACACCAGCTAATCTCAAGCGTTTACAGTAGAGCTCCCACACTTTACTATTTCTTGCAATCACATTCTTCAAGAAACAAAAAAAGATTACAAAAATATACATTTAAGCGGTAAAAATTCCTTTCACAGACAACTCACAGCTTCAGTATAATTACTTGCAAATGAGTATCGCATTTGCAAAACTCAACTTTAAATTCATTGTTCCATTTTTGATTACAAACAATGTTACATTCTAAATGACAGAAAATAAGCATTATTGAATTTGTACAGTAAATTATTTTTTTAAGTAATTTTGAGTATTATCTAGTCGTAAATTGCTATAGTTAATATAAACAAACAAATTATCATTTTTCGAAAACTAGAATATGCTGAGTTTAACACATTAATCTAACTTCTGCTTAAAATGAACTAGACTTGAATAGCTTCATAAATTTACGATTTCATGCACTAATTACTTCAAACTCTTGTCAGTAATATTATATTAAATTGCACTCCGAATTTTTCATTATTCATATATTAAGCATTAATATGCAAACAGTTATAATTTTATCATATAAGTTACAATCACAATCTATTTACGACTACGGAATTAAAGAATCTATTATTCAGACAATTTCAATATCAGACATGAATTGAAAATGCCTAAATGATAACTGAGCCAAAAGTGACTTGGATTTACTTTAAATCTGAAAATTTTTTTGAAGGCAATAAAGGATATATGTAAATGTTTAAAGATGTGATGTATGTAAATGTTTAAAGATGTTTCATTTATAAATTTAATTTGTAATAATTAAATGGGAATAATAATATCCCGGAAAATTGGCATTCACTGGCAAATTTTTAGTCAGCTACCTTCTTTTTGCATATTTTCTATTAACACTCAGACATAGAGATGAATGAATGCTTCATGGAAGCAATAAGAGCAAATAAACGATTCATAAATTTGGAGAGTATCTTCTTGATGTGAGCTGACTATCATTTGAACTCTGTACACGGATGAGAAGCAGTCAAGCAGTTGTGAAATAGTTGAGCTCGTCTCATGTGGAAAGAGAGAAGTGCTTATGAATGAAATGTATACTGTAATGTTGCTTTGCAGAATGAATTTTCTCGTGAAAGATTACTGTAAAATGTTTCTTGAAGAAAACATTGCAGTAATTTTGTCAATAATTGCAAGCACTTGATATAAGCGATTTTCCTGCTAGCTTGGCTCTGAATAATATTATATAATACAAATAATATGAAACTGACATGGTTGTGATTTTATAGTAATTGTTTGGTTATGGCTTATTCGATTACAGCTTCGATTTTTATCAAAATAAACTCGAAATTCGCAATGATTTTAATAATTTGACCAAATGTCCTAAATACCGCAGTTGATGTCAAATTGCCAAAACATCATTTAAACTTTTTTTCGAGTAGTACATAGCATGAGAAATTTATGTGACTGAAGCTACTGTAGCAGTGCAAATGATGAAAAATGAGGAAGAAATAATTTGGGAAAGTTGCAAAAATAAAGAACTTGGAATACAAGTTTAGTTCGTTTTCGATCTTTGTTAGCATGAAAACAGATTTTAGTCGCTGCTCGTAACACTTTTTTTGCTGCCATAGAAATTGCCGTTATGTCAAAAATTCATTTAGTCTTAACAGTAAATAGGCATAATTACTTGAGGAAGATTAAAGCAATTTCAGAATGAAATTAATGCGTAATCATTTTTTTTCATTTGAAATTTATAGACTTCTATGAGTCCATTATGCTTGGTAAAACTTCTATTAATAATCTATTATGCTTGGTAAGAACTGAACCAAGTAATCAATTCAATCCAACAAGTACCAAAATTATGTTTAAGTACGCTAATGGATTTGTGGATGAATGCATGTACTGGATTTGGATTTGTGGATGAATGCATGTACTGCATTTGGATTTGTGGATGAATGCATGACAAAAAGTATATTTGCTTTATAACTAAATTTTATAGTTCCAGTACAAATTTCAAATCAAATATCACTATAAAAGTCTGCTTTGTAACTGACTTGATCTATGAGAAACATTCTGTAAAGAGATTTTTTAATGGCTACTGAATGCGTTAATTGCAAATTCAGGCATTAAAGTAAGAAGAGAAGCAGTCGCTAATAACATGCACATCGCCTTTAACATCTAATCCTTTTGCACTAAGTGCACCAATGAAAACCTTGCAGTCATGCACTTTTGAAGAGCTCACTATTTCTTCGGCACTGAAAGACAGAGACGGAGAAGGAGGCACAAGCAAGGAGTGCATGACGTCGTCGTCACTCAGCTCTTGCGAGGCATATTGTGCTGATTACTCCATTGAATTCTGCTTGGGCAGATCTGTTTGTCTCCTATACTGCCTCTCTCACTACGCTCATCTTCTTCAGCAAGTCAGTGTTGTTTGTGATGGGCTTTCTCGTCACTTTCTGCGGGATTTGCCTTCAGTGCTGAGGCTTACGCTGCGTTCTGACATTTCCATCCCTTATTGATCGCTTGCGCGGTTTCTTTTAGCTATTTTTTAAGGAAGAAAATATTTCTTTCCAAGTGCTTTTTGCTTAATTACATGACAGCAATTTTTCGAAAGTGTTTAAGCTATTATGCCGTTAATGGCATCCCATTCTGAATCTGTTAGACTTATACAAGAAATTCCCATTTGCGATCGATAGTTTTTCTATGCATCATTTGTTTTCGTTACGTGTCACGTATATATTGAGTGGGTAAGTGCATCATATCTGTGTTTTCTAGGTATTATATACCTAATGCTTCATCCCTGCTTTTGGTGCTCCTAACTGTCTGTGATTCCCTTACTTTCCTCTCACTTCTGAAAGCAACAGCATGGTAATAATGAGAGAACAATAAGTGTTCAGTCTGCCTTTTTTGAAACGCATAAGATTGAGGAGAAGTTCTGCAGCATCACAAATAAGGATGTGTAATATAATTTTGAGACGAATTTTTTAATGTTAGTTTCTTGTTTTCAATTATTTTCTTTATATTATAACCGTTATATCTACAAACTTAGCTATATTTATGAGACTCAGCAGCATAGAATCAACTGAGTAGAAGTTTTTTTCTGAACCGTTTTAAAAATATGCGTGTTTATTTCAGTCATTACTTTCAGGTGACTGCCCATCGCCTAGTGAAAATAGGTGGTGGGCATGTCCTTTATAACTTGTTAAATTTTTACTGGGGAGTATTTAATCGACAACCATGGTAGTTGTTGATTTTATGCTGCAGAGTCTCAATAAAATAGCTAAGTTTGTAGATGTAACGTGAAGTGGGTGCAAAGCGCTGTTATTTTTTTAAAAAATATAGGAGTATCGCTTCAATGTGCTAATTTCAAAAGGATTTCACATAGAAAGTGTGGGTTAGGGTAAGTCGTTGATCTTTTACTCTTTTTCATGTTTTCTTCTAATATGTTTTTTTTAAAGGAATAATATATTAGTTGAATTTGCACTACCAAATTCCAAAGAATGTGGCTTTGCAGTCAAACATGAATGTATGTGCAGAATATTCTAGTTTTGGAAATTTTCCGAACAATGGATCCTTGTGTTCCAGAATTTGTTCTAACGCATTTGGTGATATAAATAATTGAAACACTGGATCGTCTATTTCTGATGGGTAACTGTTAATATTGCGTGTAATTTAATCATGAGTATTCAGCAGACACGATTGTAAATAATGTATAGTCTTTAATTAAGAATATGATTGTTAATAATAATTTGGTGTTTTTAACTATCATTTGTGGCTTTTTGTCTTCAGCTGTGAGTTAATATAACAATTACTAATTTGAAATGTTTAACTGTAAATATTTTGCAGCTGTTTCGTGCTTGCTTTCTTTGTGTTTGTATTGTCTTTTGTATCACATAATATAAAAATTCATTATTCGATATGATATTCAAGCTCTTATACATATTCTACTGCACATCCATGCAAGTATTAATTTTTAACATCAGGATTATCAGCTGTATGGAATCAGTTCTTATGTATTCAGTTCCCGAAACTTTGAGTTATGAGTATTAAGTAGATGCATTGTAAATAGCATGATAAAAAGAGACATTTAAACTTCCAAGACAGAATTTCAGTATTGAAGTCTTCAGCTAGTTGGCTCGTTTTGAATTTCCGGCAATCTAGGGAATGACCACATTATTAAGAAATGTGAGAGTGGACAATTAACACTTCATCATAGTGTTTTCTCTTAATACTGATGTTCGCAGTTTTTTGTGGTCTAAGGTAGGCCGCAAAAACTGAAATGAAGGTATATTTTAGCGAAGTGGCACTACTGGAGATGACGGTTCTTGGATGTGGATGAAAATGAAAACAAGAGTTAGCTGCATATCAGTCCACCAGAGTTTTGAAGTGTCTGTTAAATCCAAATTTCCTGATCATCAGAAACTACCGAGAAAGCAGAAGAATTTAGGGACTGTTTTACAGCTCTAAAATAATTTGTGCAAAAAATAATGTTCGGCTAAACTGAAGAATTACTCGAAGACAAGGTATGAGAAGAACAATAATAGAGTGATTGCAAAGTTAATACTAATTAATATTGGTGCTAATAAGAAAAGTTGAAAATTAAAACAAATACTAAAAGAAGATCAGCTTCACCTTGATTACTTTAGCAGTGTCGATTGGACGAAGAACTGATTTTTATTTGCTTCGAATTATAGACAATTTTAATGCCGATAGAATTCAAAAGTGCTTTAATAGGGCCTTGCCTTGGAAAGGATTTTGCCTTGGTTCTGAGTGAAGCACAAAAACAATTTTTTTTTGGTTGGCATGTATTGATGGAGGAGATTGTTTGATCACGTTAAATTGCATCTCAAATGAGCACAAATAAAAATATATAGAGAAATGTATTATTTCTCACGATCTCAGCTTCGCAGTACTACTTGTCGCCTACTTTTGTGAGTAATTTTTCATTCAAAAACGAATTTTCATATGATCTTCATCACGCTAAGAGTACTCTCTATTTTTCTCGATAATATTCAAAAACTTTAACGAATTGTGCATTAATCGGGATAAAATAGCCAGTACTTTATTCAAAGAAAATTGATCTTCATCAGGTTAAGAGTACCGTTAATGTTTGACACATACTACATCCAAATAATGCAGAAAATATATACAATGAAGTTGTACAAAACTATTCATTAAGAACAATCTTTTAATTTTTCCAGAATTATACGTATGTAGAAAAATGCAGGCATTGAAATGTGCTACTACCAAAATGCATATCATATAATTAATCGGAATAAAATAGCTAATAACTGTACACTACCATTTTATATTGCAGTGTTCACACTTGCGAGTTCTTTAATCATTAAACTGTAAAAAGGAATCAAACACAAATATCAAAGTGAAATGATATTTTCGTGATATGTTTAAAAATGTGCACTTTTAAAGTTCCCTCGTTTATGCACAAATAATAAGACGAGCAATTAAAGCATTGAAAAATAGGACTTTATTTGTGGACAGAAAGGTAAACAAATTTTTACTTTCTTCGTATTCTTAACTTATAATTCCAAAATATATCTTCACAAGGTAAACTTTGCATCAAATAGATTTGCTGAAGAATTAAACAAATAATATAACGATCATACTACTCTCAATTATTTTTCAAATAACACATTCATGCGATTTTGTATGATTCATATTTTGTGCAAAGAATCAGTCTTGACATGTCATGTCATGCAGATGCATATCACATAGTTGGATGAATTTTTAATTACATGAAATCAAATACCTTACATTCTTGAAATTTTCATACCTCTCAAAAACGAACGAGCATATAAAATCTTGAAATACTTTCGCTATTGGATTTACAATAACATTCACATTTCAATATATATAATCTGAATTAACATAATTCATTCAATGTTCACAACCCTTAATTTTGTACTAAAACTAATAAAGAATAGAATAATTGACAATAACTCATATATGATTCTGTGATTAGAAGAAGCAACGAAATGAATCAAATCTTACTGATTGTTAATGTGGAAAAAAAAGTGAATGAGGCTAATTAAAATGATCAAAGTGAGGGAAATGAAGGGTTAATTGGAGCCAACAATGAACTTAACTAAGTAACAGTATATTTAGTAAGTGCCAATTGTAATGCAGTAAAATATCAAAATACAATTAAAGTATATATATGATTGAAAAAACATGCAAGAAGTCTTGCAAGAATCGGAAAGAAGGGAATCAAACATCTGCACTCGACTTTGAATATATTTGAATGAATTGCAATTTGTATTTAAATTTCCGAAAGAAATTTAAAAGTTTTTCAGCCTAGAAATAAATTTGCAATAATATCACTTTTCATTTTAATTTTTTTGTAACCAGTTAAAACTTTGGAAGTACTTTTGATGTACTTACAGCACTAACGTACAGATTTGTTTATCAGAAAATTGAAGTCAGGCCTATCGCTTTTGTTTAGCTTCGAAATGGACACAGTAAAGGGTTCATGAAGCAAATTCTGCGATTTACGTAACCTACCTCCACAGTAAGAATGTGAGCTAGCATTTCTTACAATAACCGGTATTTCCTTGGGGCAATTTTTCTTCAGAGAAAGCCGTTTCTCAAATTCAGCTTTTGCATCAAAATATGATAATTGTTCATTCGTGAAAGATGGAGTAGAAGCCAAAAGCTGCCATCTATTAATGTCATTCTTACTTTTCTGTTCACACCAAGCTGGCCTGAAAAAGGTGCTGTATTTGATATATATATTTGACCTGAGAAATTTCTGGCATCATCAAAAGAATAACGTATTTCCTATTGAAATTCGATCAACTTAGCCAGTTACTTATTGCTTAAGTTGTGATAAGAAACTATGCCACTTGCCATTCCTGTTTGTTCTTTTCTCCAAGAGAAAAATTACAACAGAATACTTGCTCGTTCTGGTTCGCAGCAGCATAATTGCTTCTTCTAGTTTGCAGTGATTCCTGAGCAGGACCACCTCTCCTACCAAGCATGACTTGATTTTCTGCTTTTTTGTTGCTCACTGCTTTTAAGCCTTCATCAAAAGTATTTTCAGTACCTTCTTTTTCAATCAAACCGATTGATGCGACAGCAATTGGTTGAACTTGCGACGATAATTCTACTGGCAGCGTCGCTTCCTCACGCAAATAATATTCATTTTCATTTGAAAAATTTTGCAAGTTATGTGTAGCTAATTTCAAAACTGGAAAAATTTCTGAATCCATTCGTTGGCTTTTTGATCCTATTTGGTGACTGATATCACTGAAAGGCATATCAGAAGTGTAATTCAAGCTCTGCAATGGTTCAAAGTTTATTCCACTACCGAATTCATCTGAATATATTTTTGTAATCGCTTTATTTGTTATCATTTTTGTTTCTGCACATTCTCTATTTTTCTGCGCATCTGAAACACAACAGCTCGTCATAGTGAATTGCTCATTACCGCATGCTTCAGTTAGCTTACTACTTCCATCCATCGTTCCTTCTGCAAAATTTTCACAAGTAATACTGACAACAGTTTTACCCTCTCTTACATCTCGCAGATTGCGTTCAGTTATAATGTATTCTTTCTGATCTCTCGTGACAGCCTTTGGCTGTACTAAATCTGCATCGTTTTTATTCTTCGGTTTCACTTGTTCTATTGCAAATTTCACTGCAACGCTATCAATGACATTATTGTTCAAATCTAACTCATCATTGCTTTTTTGACTAATTTTTGCTACTGTTGCCGATAAATTTTGTCGTTCAGATTGATCCAGTCTTTTAAATTTCTCCACCTGGTCAAACTTGACATCTTTTTCGGTTACTTCATTTTTTCGATCAGCAAAATGATCTAGCACAATGTACATCTGATTTTCATTTTCATTTCCGAATAATTTAAACATTTTATCTATCTTCTGACTTAGTTCTTCCAGTCTGTTAGTTTCATGCTTATCATCTTTGCTAAATTTATAACAAGAATTTGCAGAGCCAGTAAACGCAATTGTTGTGATGGATCCTGACTCTACTGTTGTCAGAGAGTCATTTGAGGAGTGACGAGTACGAGTGATCTGATGCTTTGTTTGTTGAGGATTATGAAACAATTCTGATTCAGTCTTGTAATCATCCCTTAACGCTAGCTCCGTATAACCTTCAACCAAAATCTGAAAATATGGCATAATATATCTGAATAAATAAGACCAACACATTTGCGAGTAATAATGATGACAAACTCTTGGCATTGTTCCATAACTGTGTGTAACATAGCATTTCGAAAACCATATAACAGTTTCAATCAGAATATTTCTTTGAAATTAAGATCAGTGATCGACTAACAAAGCTTTGAAAAATTCTCACTTCTAATAATAAAAATTTGTACTCTTCGAAAGTATACATAATTTTGATATTAATGAGACGACTTTGAAAAACTACATATTTAATACTAAAGATGTCTTAAATTATAATATATTATGATGATATTTAACTTTGTTCTATGAGCAAGTGATCATCAACAAACATGTCCTGTTGAACAGCGTGTCCTGTGATGATCAACAAACGTATATTGTTGTTATTATTTCTGATGACTAAGAGGATGGTATCATAATTCTATTCATTCTCAAGAATCTCAAGAATACTTCGGAAAAAATTCTTGCAGCATTATTTAAAGACTGAGTCTCCATAACCTGGCCAATAATATATTTGAAGCTCTAAGATTCAATAATATTACTGATGAACTGAAGTGTTAATAAGATAAATAAGACTATAAAACTTTCAAGAAAAACTTAGTTTCTGATTTTCCAGAACAAATAACTAATGAGAAGTGAATCTTACCACTTTTTTCTTCTGCTCTCCAAAACGCTCTTTTTCGATTTCATTTGGTTCATCAGCACTGATATAAGTAGCATGACCAGTTTCAGGCACACGTTCCACTCTTTCAACTTGCTGAATGCTATTTTCCTTTAGAATTCTTTTCGTACAAATTGGGATAGTTCTGCTGAGTGCATCTATTTCTATTGTGTTTTCTTCTTTGTCATTATTGAGCACCACCATTGCTTTCTTCTTAAAATCTGAAGCGCTCTCTGAGGCTAAAAGTGTTGATGTTAAAACATTAGTACTCTCCTCTACTGTCTCTAAGTTCTGTCGCATATAGTTTCCAAAACTTTCTTCACTCAATTTTGTCACTGAATGAATAATTTCTTCAGCAAACCTCTTAGCAAAAGATTCTAGTTTAGGTGTCGTATCAAGCATTTGTTGTTCATTTTCTGCGCATTTTTGAGAATTTGCAGTATAGATCATGTTTTGAAACGGATCAGAATAATGTTCATCAAAATTGTCGCGTGTTAAGCAAGTTGGTGAATAAGCAACAGAAGGTGAAAAATAATCCGTAGTGACTTTCTGAATATGATTTGAGTCGCGTTTCGAATCGACTGCTGAATGACTGCCAGAAAGTTGCGGAGAGGAAGCAGTTAGATTAGAATTGATCGAACGTTCTGCCGAGACGCAAAACAAGGAAATATCGCTCGAACTTTTTAACTTTTGCAAATTCGGATAAGTCTTTAGTTTTTCAGGACGAAGGAATTCTGATCCTCCACTTGTGGTAGCTTCCAACGGAGATGGATGAAATCCTTCTAAACTGGTCGCAACTTCTTTACACTCCAGCATTTTCTTCGCCTCTTTACTCTTCAACTCACTATTCGAAAGTAAACTTTCCTGAGGAAATAGTTTCTTGTGATTCAAAACTTTGTCATCTACCGCTGACAATCGATCGTATTCAGCTAAAAAATGAGCACTATCTTCCACACATTGTACTCTTACACGACTTTTCCATTCAAATCGATCATACAAATATGTGGCAGGTAAACGCGACAGATTGCTTTTCTGTTTCCTGGCACTTGTCTCTGCATGTTCAGTATTGCCAAACCATGTAGCAGCATCATGAACCTTTTGTTCGCTGACTGGTCTTGTTGGTGTTTGGTGGCGCAGAAGGAAGATATTTTCGATAATATCGCAGTATTGCAGGACCTCAGTTAACTGGATCTCACTAAGGTTGCTGTGATCACACTGACGTGCATGTATTACCGCTTCATAACACTGTCTTATGATACTCTGAAATCGATCCGTACAATAAATGATTTAGCAGTTTTTTTTTTCGAATGACTGAGCAATCAGAATAGTCAGAGCATTCATTATTATATGACAATGTTGGATTGCAGGACCAATATTGCTCTTTTTTACATACGCCGAAAGTCATTTTTGTATTTTAACTTTTCATTAAATTTATTGCAAATAAAATTCGCAAAGAATCAACAAGATTATTTCACTATCATTATTATTTATTACTATCAGTAGCAGTAGTAATAAAAGTAGTGGTAGCATTACTGACTAATATATTGCAGTCATGACAAACCTAAAACTGTCATCAGTCTCCTTTCAATATGTGCAATCTTCAAAATATAAAAATGAGATGTTTACTTTAGAACCTTTTAATTAAAAAATAAAATAAAAAATCTACCAAAAATAGAGTAAACAGAAAAACTAAGGTGAATAAGGTACTTGGGTTTATTGGTTCTCGAGATAACTTTTCGCCTTTTTTCGAAGTAAATAGGGACTTTTCAATCGATAGTTTTCCAAAGCAATTAAAGTTTTTGTTTTTACGGGCAATAATTTATAGATTTATTGAAAGTGCTTTCGAAAAATGTCGCAGATTTTTCCTCTTTACTTTGCATTTCGGAACCACAATCAATTTTCGACCGCACTCCTTTCATCCGCAAAGACATTCAGTGGCACATTTTCATTATCAAAATAAATTTTAGAAAAACTGTACCTCATCACATACGACTTTGTAGAATGAATATAACAGTGCAATAGATACGTAAGCAGCTAGAAGATCAGGTTCATTACCGACCGGCCAGCAATCACGCATAGCGTACTTGATCTTCGCAAAGTGTTTCTCTATTTCTTTCCATTGCTTGAGCATCTTAGCATTTCTGAAATTGTCTACAAACTTTGAAAAAGTTGCAGTTGAAATAAAGTTAAAGTAATAAGCGAAATTTTCTGCGTTTACTCATATTATTTATAACGACAGTCAATAATGATGATATTTAAAGATGCTTTATGTAAAATTTAGATTCTTCAATAAAATCTTTTCAAAATCAATAGGGGAACATCTTTCAAATTAATAAGAAATGAAGAACAACTCTAAAAGTGTCAAAATACGTTTTCTGTAATTAATATTATAGATGAAAAAATGTCAAAAATAATATCCAAGAAATTTTTTTTAATATGCTCAAATTTTGTCAGTAATGAATGATGTTATGCAAAATTTGAACCGTTCTTGTGAAAAATTTCAGAAAAACTATTAACCGTTCTTGTACTGCAGTATTCCCTTTTTTCAGATTGTTGTAAGCGTGCAAATAAACCTCGCGTATATGAGCGACGTAAGTGATAATCACTGATGGCTCACAGCCTCGGAATATTACAATGCGATCTAGCAAATTCATCGCATCATTGCAAACTGCAATATAATTGACTTATGACAGAAATTTATCGATAAAAAAACAAATAAGATAAATAAAGCTACAGTGAACGATAAGTAATAAGTAACTGATTAAAAAATTTGTAACAATTGCTCACTGAAAGGAAAAAGTTAAATGTGAAAGTTGGGAATGCCTTCATTTTTAACGTTTTTTTTTAGCAATAGCAAAGCTCAAAGAATTGCATTTTAAGATGTAAATTTACGCATTCCTTTGGTGAGCGTCGAAATTGCAAAATTTTGCGGAAGAAATAAAAATTTATCTGCTCAGCTTTCATTGTAGTGAGAATTCTCAAAAAAATTTTTGTCATTATTTACGACTAGTTAGTTTCTGCATAATTTTAAATAAGTAGTGTGATTTTTGTCATGACTGATAATAATTCTGATTTAGAAGTACACTCAATCTAAAGGCCTATTTTTTCCAAATTAAAATTTTAATGATTTTATTGTAAAATATATATGCTTCCGATCGGAAATGAAACCAAAATCAGTTTAAATGGAATCTCTCGAGAGCGAAATTGAAATGCGTTGTTCTGAAAATGCGACTCTTTTAAATTATTTTACAGACATAATTTCTAAACATAATATCTAATATCAAAAAAGATTGTAAATAACGCACAAGTGTTTCATTTTAGAAAAAAAGATCAATAAAAATAAGCTCTATAAATAATGTGATGAATTAAGAGGACAAAAGTCAGCACAAAGTCAACGTTGTAGCTTTATTTATCTTATTTGTTTTTTTATCGATAAATTTCTGTCA